CATGTATACACCTACACTGTATTTCAAAAAACGTTGTCGAAAGAAAAGCAAAAAGTTTAAGCCAAGACCTAGAGGTAAAATGGGGTTCTTATAATGACCTGCTACAGGTCCTATAGGAGGTTTGCAGCCACTCAAGAGAACAGTGTGGAACATCTTTCTGTAAGTGGGAGTATTTCTAAACATTGGACAATTCTAAAAACAGAGGTGGTTGGAGGGCCTTCAAACAGTACGGAGCTTAAGCAAATACAATGGCGACAAAAGAGACTGTGAACAACAATAGGTTAAAATTAGCAAAACAACAACTTAATTTGCATGTGCATCACACTTTTTTGTCCATGGCTGTTGTTGCCCAACTACAGCTTGAAATTTCTCATGTTTTATAGGGGAAGTGAACAGCAGACCACAGCTTTCTTTTCCTTTTTTTAACTTAAAACTAGTCCTTTAGAATTCATTTCCAGAGGAATTGCTAGCATTTCAAAAATTGAACGAGGTGGAACGTGGTTGTCCACACATTCTCACATGCTGGTGTAGTGCAGAATGTTACCTGCAGTAGACTTTGGTGAGCTTTAATTAATTCTTTCGCCCATTTAATTACAACGATAAGCAAATTGACAAAATGTAAAATTTAATGACATTTTTCCTTGCTAATTAGCTGAAAAAATTGCTTTCAAAGATGGGAATAAGCAAGAGTGCGCTTCGACTGAAACGTAAGTTCACCATGTGCTTTTTTAAAAACTTGGGGCAAGACCTTAGACCCAAAGAAATCAAGCCGTCAATTGTTAAGAAGCAGTGTGTTGTTTACCATTTTTCATGTGATCTGTGCGATGCAGATTATGTCGGGTACACAGCCCGACACCTTCATCAACGCATTGCTGAGCACAAAAATTCGGCAATCGGTAGACATTTCTTAGAAGCTCACGGTAACAACAACCTTTTGAGAGAAAACCAATTCACGGTTTTAAGAAAGTGCCAGAGCAAATTTGATTGTTTAGTATTTGAAATGCTCTTCATCAAGAAGCTTAAGCCCAATTTAAATATTCAGACGGACTCCATATGTGCGAAACTCTTTGATTAATATTTCCTCACGTTACAATTTTTTTAATCAGCTATTGTTGTTTTTTTAGTATTTATAGACCAAAAATCACTAACTTATTTTGACCTGATAATGACGTTCAGCTAACGTCGAAACGTCGTCGCTTTTTAGCCATTTTTTAATCTTAAAATGATTTCAAGAAATGTTTTATCGCAATTTTTTACAGTTAAAAAATAAGTATGGTTCAGTATAAATGACGAATAAAAATCAGCAATCAGTTTAGTGGAGTGAGTGTTTTCCAGCAAAAGACGGATTTGAAACAACCCACATTACCTTGCGGTCTTGGCTTGAAGACTTTTTGCTTTTCTTCCGACAACGCTTTTTGAAATAGCTGTATGTGCATTCTGGCAATGCAAGTACAACTATACCATGCACAAAATAGGATTACCATTTCGCCTTTTTTTTGTTATTACGCTTGAATGGCATAATAAGGAAAGTGCACGATCTCTGCACGAGAATAGTTCCCTTTTTTCACTCATACCATACATTAATAATTTATTATTGGGCTGCCCATAAGGGCAATGACCAATCAAGAAATGAGAAGCAATATTCTTTCTATGTCAAAAAAAGACAAAAATTGGTTGGTAGACAGAACTCCCAGAGGGCTTTGCATGCCTCATTCCCCATTCAATGGAGCCAATTTTTGAGGAAAGGGGACAGGTCATTTTAGGTCATCTGGCGAAAAGATTTGGACGTCAATTTGAAAACACAAAATTATTGCATGGAGTTATTGGCCCTATATCTACTTCGAATAATTATCCAGATACAGTATTATTTTGACGATTGTATTAGCCTGTGTGGGGGCTGCTCAGTAGAAACAATGCCCTCCCATGGTCCTCACAGGAAAAGTTTTGACTTGTTACAAAATATTATTCTCTGCCCGTGTGTGAAAAGTCTTTCCTTAAGAAAGGAATATGCTATTTGTAGATCACCCTTCAAATAGCAACATATTCACTTGGAAAGTCAGAAGGGCTTTAAATGCAACATCTTATAGAAATAAAACTAAAACTTTGCTTTGTGAGTTTTAAGAAAGAGAAAATTCGGCTCATCCTTGGTGTAAGAACCTGTTAAACGCACCAATGACATAAAACAAAGAAAACAAAGAAGTCAACAACATAAAACCTAGAAAAACAAAAGGTACAAAACGTTCACAGGTTCTTACACTGAGGTAAACCTGAAAATCACCGTTAAAAAAGGACCAAAATTAACCCTGGCACATTTTATAAGCGTAGAATGACAATAACTTTTGGAATTTCCGGTTACATCACGTTAGTCATGTTAGTACCATCATGCCATATTTTCGGTGGCAGAGGGATGGGGGAAGGAGCTGAGTTGTGGAAATGTCCCAGTTAAAAATAATGCCAATAGTTTCTTGCTTCAAAAGGCTATCTCTATCCTAAGGCTGTCTCTATCCTATAAGGAGTAGCTATACACTCAAGCAGGTAAGAAGGGTAATTAAAATCTATACTTCCCAAAATAATAAACGACTGCATCATGCAGTTGGCAGCCCAATGAACCCCTACTATATGGGGGTCTTATTACATAGGAAATGCCCTTCAAAGTTCCCAAAAACTACACAAGGCATCAGGAGTGCATAATTGCAAACAACCATGTCAAGTTCAACAGAAAATTCTCATCACAAACTACGGTGTTTTTAGTGAAATTCCTATGCGGTGAATAAGTTAACAGATATCGAAAAAATAAAAAGCACCTCCCTGAAAGTAAAACAGATGTAATTTTAAAAAATGGAACATGTCTCCTTGTACAAACAGACTAAAATGACTGTTTTCACTCATTTTACTTTCACTTTACTGCTTTAACACTTCAATTCCAAAGTTTACCCAACCATCCACTGAATTATCCTTTAAGTTTTTTTTTACAGGTGATAGCAGAGTACAAGTCACTATGTTACACAAAAATAAACAGAACCAATACTGTCCCATGGGAAACTGTTTGGCTTAGTTAAGTATCAATAAAATAGTCACCAGTATTCATGACCTGTTAAAGAAACCTCTCCATATTATATGAACCATCTAGGAGGCACCAACAAAAAATGGGGAAAAATATCCACCAGGGTTTAAAATCATCACAAATGGATGAAACAGAACCATAAAATCTGTTATACCACCTTTTGTTGTCAATGAAGGTGTTTTAGCACTAAGGCAATGATTTACTTTTTTGCAAATTCTGAGTAGAAAAATATACTGATGTAACCTCCTCATGAGCACTGCATGACAACATCAAGAATAGCTGCAGAGGACACTAACAGTCGTGGGATTCAAGAAATATTTACAGCAAACTTTTGCAATTGCTGTAAACATATTTTCAAAATTTCTAATAGGAGAGATTTTGTTTTGTGGATACAGTTTCTGGAGAATAAAAATATAACAAAAAATAAACATCTGAAACAGTGCACGATTAAAAGAATTTTAAGATTTAGTCTGGCAAGTATTTAAATTCCTCATTCAACTCTGACAGAAGATTTGAAGGAAAGTGACGAAAAAGGCAATATGGAAATCTATAAATGTAACACCATTACCAATTACGGGTGCATTTAAGTCGGCTGGTGCTACTTTTTTTTTTAAACGCTTTAGCAAACAAAGAGGGACAAGCAAATATCAACATTATTTGTCTTTTCCAAGTCATTTTGTTGATTAAGGAAATCAAAGAACAGAATTCCACGTAGCTGAGTTGGTTGCTCGGTTCAGTGTGTCTATTCTGTATGCCTGTCAAAACCTAGCGCTTTTGGTTTCATCTAGAACTTTAACACAATGCGATTTGTTAAACAAATCTACATTAAGGATGTCAACAGTCTTGTGTCAAAAATGTATATATTAACCTTGAATATTATTAACAAAGGTCAGTTAGTTTGGACCGCCGCAATAAAAGCAAAAAAGACGAGGGTTTAATTTAGCATAGACATCTTTGCTTTAATTTGACGAAAAACAATCATCAGTATAACTACATCACCAAAACAATTACCAGTGTTTTATGTCCAAAGTCGAAATAACAGGTTTAATTTCCTCCATAAATAATATGATAATTATTATTAATATTGGTACGGCGGGGAAACTTGCAGCTTGTAAAAACATGCTCGATCAGCTTGGCAGGTCAACTTGTTCAAGCTTCAGCTAACCATGCTTTTCCACCAAAAGAGGAAAATTAACTAAATATATTTTCCCTTAAAGTAAAGGAATAAATTCCCACATTTATAATCCCAAGGTTCGTTTTCCACAGTCTTATATGTTCTAAATTTAAACACTACGTTTCCATTGTCGGTCCAGCTGAACACCGATATCACGCTAAAATGCGAGACTTCTTATTTTAAGAAACAAAAATACAAACAAATCATAGGATAAGATTTTTTTCTCATAAATCGAAACTGCCTGTTTAAATTACAGAAAAAAGGGGTTTTAACCTATGATTTGTTTTAAAGTTTTCTCGTAAAATAAGAAAATCTTTTTCGTAAACTGAGAGATTCAGAGCAATCTCTAAGTTAGCCTCGCGAGGCTAGGAGCAAGTGGCCGAATCAAAACACCCGCCCTCGAAGCTGCAATTTACAAATTCAATCCACTTACCTAACAACTGGTGAAAAGAGTTTATGTTGTTTTCTCCTTTTAGCGGAAATACCTCTCGGAAAGGGGATTTTGCCCGCAAAATAGTCGCTCATGGTTTTGCGCAAAACCAGCTCACAACAAATATGGACGCCATTTTTAAGCGTTCTCAACAACCATGACGTCACATCTGCTTATCTTTCATTGGTCGATGAATAACACTCCCGCGAAATCCAAATTTGCGCGGTAAAACATATCCTGAAAAAATTTTGTTTATATTTGAAATACGATTCGCTTGAAGGGATAGTATATTCCGATCTACTTAGATAAACGTTTACTAGAAATACTGAATAGGCGCTTTAAAACAATCTGTTCACTATCTGGGTAACGTTTTTCGCCTTCATCTTTATAGATACTCTTTTCCTTTTCCTAGATATCATAAACTTTATTAGCGTGACTGAAGAACTGCTCTGTTATTTCATTACAGTCTTAATATATGCAAAAATATACAAGGACAGTGATTACATGGTCATAATCACAGCGATAATAAAACTCCGGGGTTTAAATACAGGGCAAGAATAAATGTTTGTTCTCGTAAGTGGTCAACGTATGAACTGTTTAATTTACAAAACGTCAAAAAGTTTCAAAGACGACTATACTATACATGTCAAAGGCTATTTAAAAAAGGTCTTCTTCAATCGAGTGCAAGTCCAAGTCAGACTCGTAATCCAAATGAAAAACTCCTTCGTCTTGTGCCTTGGGGTTTGACTCTTCTAATCTGCTGTTTTCCCCTTCTGTAAACTTGCTCTCGCCTTTAAAATCGCAAACGATTTGAATATTTTCGGAATCCAGCTGTTTTGTAGGAGAAGATGTCGGAGTTATCATTATACTGCAGTCTTGTGCGTCCAGTGGGGATGAAGCGATCGGCTTAAGCTTGAAGTTTTCGGATTCAGTAAAATAGCTCGTTAATCCTTTTGTGGGCCTTTTATTCTGAAAAAGAAAAACATGCATTTGCATTGAGTGGTGTCATCTGGAGACAACATTCAAAGTTCGTGAATACAATACATTAAATTACCATATATTTTGGGATCCGCAAGCCTTTTTCTCTATCTCTGCATCGGTAGTAAGAGGTCTATAAGAAAATTTAAAAAACACGCCCAGTTATTAGTTATCTGAATTTCCTATTTATCATTTCTAAGACGGAAAATACAACTGATTTAGAACCCGTGTTTTGTGAAATATTCATAGAAATAAATTATTCAAAACTACTCAGTGATTATTTAGGTTCTCTTCAAGGATAAGAACTGACATTTTTTTATAATTTTCATGGTGGTGAAAATTGAAATTGAATCTCAAGACCTCTTCCATTTTTGATAAATCCAGAGCTGGTCTCCTTGCATCTAACACCTCATCGATTCTCCTTTTCACCCCAATCGTTCTCATCCTATCAAAGCAAGGTTGCGAACGGCTTCTATGCAAGCCAAGTACATTCGGTTTCCAATTAAAGTTAAAGTCTCTGACATCGTGTCCGGCAAAATCACAATGTGCGCTTTCGTTTTTGAACACTATATTCTTATCTCCAAGGGCCGCATTCGCTGAGGCAGGTCTTGGTGTTGGCGAAGCAGGAGGTGTCGAAATAGCCTCCATCTCGTTCTTTATCCTCATCGACTCAGCCAATTTCATTTTCTCATCCGGGCAAGAAATCGACCGTGGTTTTGCCCCGCAGTGTTCGACCGGTTGCCAAACCGAAGAAGCCCGAGGAACCCATGATAATTGCCTTTCTGAGCTTTCGTTATCCGGCAACGATAGGGAAGAACATAATTTTTTATTAGCGGGTGGCTTGGGGGTACAGTGCATGAATGATGATGAGTCCGCCCCTGAACAGTTTTTGCAGTATGTTCTCTTTGGTCGGTGAGATGGATAGCTTCGTGTACGCAAATGTCCAGATGCTAATCGTCCATCTCGACGAAGTTTGTAACTGAGCGGACATTCTGAAAGGGAAGGGAGATATCGCACCATGAGCCATGTGTTTTTACTAGCAGTTAAGGCGAACAAAACAATGCGTTTTTCATGTTTTTTCGAGATCGAGATTATAATTCTCCAATAAAATTGTCAGATCGATGAAAAACTGAAACAGTTAAGGGTTAAATCGTACCTGAAATATGGCCAGGGTTAGCTGAGTGAAGTCGGAGCTGGATAGGACAACTTATCTGAAAGTAAAGCATTGAAGAGTAAACATCATTGAAATTCATGTCAACCTGCGATAGAGTGAGAAAAACACCATGGCAAGGTCTTGTTCGATTAAAGAGTAATTTTCAAAAATTCTACCTCAGCCTCATCGCAGGGAAGATCTTCTAAGGACTGGTCTTTCAACTTGTCCGTTATCACCGTCACCATAACTGAGATGCCACATGAAGGCCACGATCTCAAATGCTTTGTAGTCAATGACAGAATATAAATTTAATGAGTGACGCGCTCGACAGCCAGCTCGCTAGCACTTCACGACTGCCCTGAAAGAGAATTAAGCCGGATCTAAGCCGTCATAAATATAATTTCGAGGAATTCGAAAGAATCATGAAAATTAATCTATCGGAGACATATCGTTTGCAATCGCAGATAAACTAACCTTTTACCACACCGTGACATCTTGGGTTTAGTTTCGTAGACGTTGTAGTAGTAGTAAATTTCAATCAATCGTGGCATCTAATCGACACAGCGTCGCTTCGAGGTCTGAAACAAAAAAAATGGTCACATTATTCTTGCCTTCCTTTGGATCCTCCTAATATTCAGTTCATTTATTTTCGCATCAAGTCCAAACCCTTAAGCAAGAGCATTATTACCTAGCTTTGTACACGAACAAAATAAATTTTACAAAGCGAAGCATTTCACTGCTACTACTAGAATAAACACTCAAGTTTCATCTAGGGAAAATCCCTTTAGCACACCTACTTCCGAGCGATTTTAGGAGCTGATAGATGGGTTAGAAACCCCCAATAATTCCAGTGTTGAAAAAATCGAAGTCATTCGAGGAAATTTTCTCCCAATACGTACAACGATGACCGGTTTGGAGGGCTTTTGTGGCCTCTAAATACCGAATTGGGTCCGGCTGATTATAAATGTCATCGTCTAAAGAACAAGCTTTTCCACCAATCATAGCCCGCCTAAGGGTTAAGAGCTGGTTTTGATTGGTGTAGAATGTTCTCTGACGTGCACCCCTTTTACTATCAATGAATTTTGATCGAGGCAAAAGAAATTTCATTACCATGATGAACCAACGGGATCCGTTCTTCCAACACTAAGTCTGTCAAAAATTACTCTAATGAATTCACTAGCACCTAACTCCAAATACGACGTCACTTTTGACACGATCAGCTTCCTACTCCGATATTATTGAGGAAAATAGAAAAGAAAGAAATTTGTGAGTCATATTTGTTTCCTTTTGCTTTTGTGCAGCGCTTCCTCTCGTAAAAATAGATCTGCAATTTTCGATGTCCGCTTTGTTTTCATCCACCGGCTGCTGTCCATTTTTTAAAGAAAAACTTTGTTGCAAGATGTGAGCCGAAGCCCAAGTTGGAATATCCCCAAAAAATTGTCTTAAATTTTTCGGTGAATTCTTTCTGATTTGCTTTTGACAAACCGAAAGGGTAAAAACGATTTGAAGTTGTTAAAATAGTAATGAATTATACATATTCTATCTACACACACAATTCAGATACGATATTCGATTATTCAAATTAGTCGGTAGCCCTTATTTTCTACTGTGCAGCTTACAAGTTTTTCCCGTTTACAGCCGATTCTACGGCTGGTATTGTTCGCAAACTCAATTTGGCATCAACTGCTTCTCAAAGATCCTGGAGGAATATTTTTTATTACGATAAAAATGACTGATAAAACAGTGAAAGCAATTTTACGTTGGCATATTCTTTATATGCCTTTTTCAGCTCATCTTTGTCAACATGTTTGATTTGTGTATGCAGCGTGACGCCACTTCTTTTGTTGAGATTCCGGAAAAAAATCCTTTCGGTACTTAAGTAAATCTCGCCATCGAACTGTGTATAACAGAGGGATGGTTGGAAGAAACCATTGAGTTAAAAAGTATTGCATAGACTAGATGGGTAGGACTGACAATACGAGATTTGGATATTTTTTGTCCCTGAACTCGTTGCGCAAGAGGTATTGGGAGAAAGGACTATAGATTGCCTTGAAAAAAAACCGTGAGCTTAAAAGTGACACTTAAAACGGAAAGAGCTTAAAAACAATTTAATTTATTCATGTGACTTGGTTTGTTGCTCTGTAATTTGCTGCAAGGTCGAATACTGAGCGCAGCAGTTAGTAAATTTGACACTAGTAAATTTAGCGTATTAGTATCCGTTTGACATTAACTTGCGGTTGGGTCCAATTTGGGTACGGATCAAATGTAATAGCTTTCTCTGTTCAGAATGGGTTACGACATTGCAAACTGCTTACTTTTTGGTTCATTTGCACCTAAGTGCGATTTTTCATCGGTAAACAATATAGCTGAAGTAAAGCCAGGTTATCAGATAGTGTGATAGGAGTCAAGACTTTCAGTCAAATAACGTCGGCTCAAAGAAATCAATTGGAGGTACATTCAGTTTTAACTCTCAATAACTCAAAGGACATAAATAGCTGTGTTTGGTAGTCTTCCCAGATAGCATTTGCATACGTTGCCTGACGGGATCAGTCTTGGCCCCACTCAGGATAATTCATTTACATATATTGAAGTCAAGAAACTGATTGGCCTTTCCCACAAAGAGAGTGATGAAAAAGAAATTCAGTTCAAGCGACTTTTATCCTTTGGAGGCAATGTACCTTTACTAAACGAAATTGTTTTCAGTAGAGAACTTTGACCCTATCACCTGCTAGAATTAATACTTTTTCTCACATGCTGTCTTTTTTTCTTTTTCATTTTATCTGCAAGGTGCTCAGTTACCGTCCTATGATTTATGACCCTTGGACATCAGAGCCTCACGTTTGTCTCTCTCAAATCCCAATTATTTAAAATAATAAAGCTGATAAGTCATCCCTTTATTCACCCAATTTAGTTTAAATGAAAAATCGACTGAATTTTCAAATACGCTCAATGGTTCATCAGACGGAGAACTAAGCTATTACCCTCCGGCTAACTGCTGAGGTACAGCAACATATAGTATTACTCATCACTGACAGTTTCTCTGCCTTTGATCGCTGAATTCTGCAGACAAATTCTCCTGTGTAGCGTTATGGCAACAACTTCTCTTTCTCAAGCATAAAACGAGTCCTCGTCTAGTGCTCAGTGGCTCAGCATTACATCATGATGTCACTTTGGCCATTTTTTAAAGTTCCTAATCTCATTATTTTAGTTTCTCGTCCTAGATATAATGAGCTGTAGAAACAAGTGAACTGAAATAATAATTGATTTGACGTGGACGGCACTTACAGCGGCAGCCTCCAATTGAACCTGAAAAAATTTTTTTAAACTGACAATGATCTCATGCTCTTTGTGACTCAGGTCATATGCCCTGCTTGGAACTACTTTGATTCGCTAATAGTCACTGATTTTGTTTTTCAGTCAGAGACACCTCGGTTCGGCACGTAAGCTTAACTATTTTACTTGATCAGCTCAGCTTAAAACTTGTAAATGTTCCTCTTTGAAGTAAAATAGATATGCTAATGTTGTCGCATATGTAAAACTTTGTAACAAGATTGCGCAATTCTTGCCGCATTTGAAGAGAACGGTCCATGTACATGAGTTTTGAATATTTAAAAACACCAATACCATGGTGAAAATCCTTGTCATCTATGCAAGATAAGAACTGCTCGGTAGAATCTCGGTAAAAAACTTTTGGTCTTTAATGCGAAGATTAAAAATCGACGTCCGCCGAACACAATAAAGCTTATTCATTTCCAATTTTTCCGAAGTTCATTAATATTTTATAATTAAGATGTGTGCGCGCTTAAGCAGCCCTCTTCACCTGATATGGACAATCCAAGAAAAGCCGGCGGTCGTTTACAGACTTTATTCAATTTTTATTAGTTAAATTCATCTTCGTTTTTCCCGTAATCTCGCGCTGAATCAGTTTGTATTTTACAAAGAAGGCTTCTTTTGATCAAAGTATATTCTGGACGTTTCGTATTCCTGCTGGGTAAATTGTAACCAGTGCGACTATCGTGGTTATTTCACGCAATATCACTGATGAACCCACCACATGTTCCTTTCTCATCATAAGGCCGCACTACAAACATGATCACCAACTCATTTACATTTCATTCTTTATTTTTTTTTTGTTCATCCTCAGAGCATTCGAGGCAAATTTTCGGAAGGAAAATGTAATTGCAAAATGACGAAAATATATACGCTTACAAAAATTAATATTCTCTCTCTGTTGGCGTATTTTCTTAATTCATAACATGACTTGGTAATATTGTAAGACCTTTTGTAACTCACTTTGTGAAATTTTTTTTCTCCCAGTACAATACAAGCGAGCAGAAAATTCAGGTCTCCCGGCAGTCCGGTAGACTGTTATGATAGCCGAGATAATTATAATATGACAAAAGTCAACCGACTTACCCATTCGTACTCAGTGCTCTAAAGGCTCCAGCGAGCGGTTTTAAGTAGGATTGGTAGCGGTCTGCACGAGTTCAAAGTGGAATCAAATTATCATCGCTTTATTCTCGTTAAATTGCGGAAGAACCGGAAACTTAGAAAAATGGGCGGATGCTGAGTAGAATTCACTGGAAAGAATGATTCCACGTGCTCAAAAGTTGTTATGTAATCTTGGCCGGGATTTATAGGAAAACCTATTTTACAAGTTTGAGCTAGCTGACAAATATCATTCAAGTAAAAGGTTTTTTTAAGGTTTAATACAGCCTTTATTGTGTGTTAATGAATTTTTTTCCTTCTACTGTCAAATAGGCTTACTGATAGATTAATCTTGAGGTAGTGTTTTCTTACAATAGCGACGAAATTGAATGAATTATTGAATAATTCGCAAAGGAACATATTTTTATAGGGGCAGGAAAGTGGTTAAACAGTTAGTTATTAAAAGAATAAATCTAGCAGTTTTTAATTTAAAAGAATAACCAAAAAAAGAACTAGGTAACGGCCGTGATTGATAAAACACCCATTTTATTACCTTGGCAACAAATAGCTCATAACCGAAGTCAGTTGTACTGAACCGAACTTAATTTTTCATGGTTATTTCTTTTGTTTTCCATTTAATTTCAGAAATTTACTACCACTGACCAATTTTTCTGCAATAAACATTATCAGCTTTTTAATTGTTTACTCTTTAGGCCCCAAAACGATAGATTGGTCACGAAAAACAACCCGGTATGTTGAACAATATCTTTTCAGTCGCAGATTTTGTAGCTGGTAAATTTCATGAACTTTTAACTGGCTTGAAGAAGTCACGGAAATTTCTTAAATCAGTGTGCAATGCAAGCAAAGAGTGGTTTATAGGCTCTTTTACCAATTCTACTGTCCAAAAATATTTTCATGCAAACTGAGACCATATTGGTCCGGGCGGTATAGCGTTGGTACTTTAGTCATTCCCCATAGCAATAATGAGTGACAAAGGTGCTGTTTAAAAGCTTGTCATTGAGTAATTACAGACCAGCTTGAGCCGAGCCTAATATCTCGATTATTCTGCGCGAAAAGTAGCCTCTTTAAAAGCTGGGTTTATGTACTAAGTAACTGAAGCTGTAACTTAAACGACGCCTCCCAACATAAAACCTGTGACCTTTATTCTTAGCAGTGGGAATTGTAGCGAATAGTAAAATTTTGTTTCTTTATTTCTCTCTACCTATATATGTTCCATTTGTTATCGCGCATGCGCGGGTGCTCTGACATAAATCATTTCGTACAGAGAAATTTAGCTGTTAATCGCAAGACAAAATCTGAAAATACTGTTTGACACAGTTGATAAATCTCTATTAAACATATATAAAAACGATTTTTCGATTTGTGCTTTGTGCCAAATTTTCTCCAAGGACAATATTTTACCAAATATTTCTAGTGCTGTTATGTATTATCACATTTGGCCGGCACCATTGCATGTGATACGCTATGTTTCCCTGTAGGGTATGCATGATCCCAGCGCGTT